AATAGTTTATTTTCACTCGCAAACCACAAAATACATATTTTCCCCTCATGAAATCTGTAGGTTTTGTATGCAAAGAAGGCAAAGTATCTGTTATGTAGCTGACAGCTTGGAAGTGGTTGCCCTACACCAACCTTACAGCTGGCCATATCATTTTGCCTTCTCTAATTTGACCCCTGAGCAATACTGGGTCCTAGAGAGGGCAGTCAGCATCATCTCCACGGACAGATGAGCTCCTCCTGTGTGTGTGGCACCAAATGTCAAGCACGGTCACACTCCCAAGCCTACCATGCTCTCAAGAAGCTCTGTCCTTCCTTCCAGGCCCCAGTGACCCAGCCTCCTTTCCTAGCTGGGAAATTTGGCCCTTCTTCCTACTCACCTTGTAGCACCGGCAGCAGGGTAGGATGTAGGTTCTCAATCCTCTGTTTCTTCCAACACAAGAAATAGTTCCTTCTCTTTTAATATTTTGTACCTCTTCACTCCAAAGAGCCAAATGAAGTATCAAAAATACTAACACACAGTGTACGTTTGTTCCCAAAATGCCATTGTGTTTGTATAGCCTGTAGAAGGGGGATGGGGCTGGCTTCCTCATTGCACTTTTTCTGAGATCATACCCAGAATTCTCCCATGAACATTTTTCAGGTTCTTTTTACCACTTCCAGAGCTCCCCCCCGACCCAACTCCCTGATGGCTTTGGTCACCTTGACATTGGCTATGGATGTGGACATGAAGGAGACTAGTGTAGTCTGCAGTATCATAGGATATGTTATTGGTCCTGTACTGTGTGCTGGGTATTATAGGAGCAGGTTCAGCAAGTCCAGATCAAAATAAACTGATAGAATTTCCATAATTCTCCTGTGGCTCAGTCTGCATGCCCTCTTCAGTTGTTGTATTAAGTCACACTTCATGATATGCAATAAGTAATCAGGACAAGGGAATTGATATCCTATGAAGATATCCTACCTCTAATCTGGAGATAGAGGTGGAGATAGCCTACCTCCAATCTGGGGAGTTTTATCTTTGGGGATTTAATGTTGTGCATATTTTGTGACAGATACAGCACCTGACCATTATTACTTGGGATTGTCCCGGGTAGATTTTGGTGTCCTTAATGCTTGGCACCAAGGATCTCATAGAGAGAGCCATCTATGTCATTGGCAGATGAGATGACCACTAGAGGCTGCAATAAATATACATGTCAGATGGGGAAAAGGTGAAAGAAACCAGGTCAAAGGATTAGGCTGTCATATATGACAAAAAGGATCGCAACAATCACTGGGGATTCTTGTCCATAGATAAGGAAAGATAGAACCTTAGAAAGCTGTGGTAGCATATAAACAGGACAGCGGGGATGCCAAGGGATGCAGGCCAGGGCATGTTTGAGATAGCTTTTCCATGCTTAATCTACCCAATTTGCTCTGAGTATTCTCCCCAGACCTCCTCCTCCTCAATATTTCTTATCTTGGGACTTAGGCTATAGAGCAAATTGAAGTCTTTTCATTGAACACTATTGAACTACCAAGGAACATATAAAAAATGAACTTTTCTATGGGGGAGACAAAAGGCATTTATATTTAGCTCATCTGCTTTTAAAATTGAGAATTAAAAATAGAACGTATAAGCTTTACTAACACAGTTTAATAATAGGGGGAAAGTGTTGGGAGAGAAGAGAAAGAGATGATAAAAAAGAACAGGAGAGGAAAAGAGAGAGAAGGTTGAGGAGAGCAGGAGAGGGAGGGACAGAGAGTCTGAAGTGCAGAGTGTGTGAGAGGGGAGGATGATTAAGCACAGAGAACAGACCCAGACCACAGTCAAAAGCATGGCTTCAGCGCCCAAGCTCTGGATTCTACATCGGTAAAAATCCCATATCACATATCATGCTTAGTTGGTGAAATATTGAAAGGATCTCCCGGGATCAGGAATGAGACAAGGATGGCTACTGTCACTCCTTCTACTTGACCTGGTCCTCCTGTACTTAGCTGGCAGAGTGAGGCTGGGAAAACAAATGCAGGGAAGAGAAGTAAAACTTCACTGGTCAGGGATGACATCATTTGTGTGCACAGAAATCCCCCAGGTGACTTCAGCAAGGTCTCTGAGTAACAAGGTCAATCCATAAAAATCAATTGCATTTCTATGTGTGAACACAAATAAAGGGAAATGGAAATTTACAAAATGATGTGTTCAATAACATAAAAGACTTCAGATGTCTTTGCTGAACTTCATTTTTTTTTTCAAGTGTAAAGTGCAGGCCACGAGAATGATGCTAACAGTCATAGTGCCAGGGCAGCAATAGCAGTATCTGGGGGTTGCTGAGTACCTGCCATGTGGCAGACACTGTTCTAAACCTTTACCTGTATTTGTTCTTGTTACCTTCACAATAGCCCTTTAATGTTTGTGATGAGGATTCGGTGAGGAAATGTATGTAAGACATTTAGCAAATTTCCTCACATAGAAGAAATGCTCAATAACTTTTAGCTACATAAAGACAATCAATGCGTAGACTCAGTTGTTAATATTACAAAGCTGCTATTTATTTGGTTTGAGATTAGTAGAATACACAGTCACACATTACTGTTTTAAAAAGTTTTAAATAGGGCAGCCCTGGTGATGCAGCAGTTTAGCACCGCCTGCGGCCTGGGGTGTGATCCTAGAGACCTGGGATCAAGTCCCACATCGAGCTTCCTGCATGGAGCCTGCTTCTCCCTCTGCCTGTGTCTCTCTCTCTCTCTCTCTGTGTCGCTCATGAATGAATGAATAAAATCTTAAAAAAAAGAAAAAGTAAAAGTTTTAAATAGCTAATGAATTCATGTACTCAGCCAGGTACTGCTCCTGGGTCTAGAAATATAGTGGGTAAGCGAAATAGGTACAGTCCATGCCCTAATGGAATTTACGATTTATGGAGGAAACAGAGATTAATCAAATGGTCTCACAACTATGAGAATACAGTAAAAAAAAAAGGGGGGGGGAGGATTTACAAGAATGTAAAAGGAGGGGAAATGAGGTCTGGGCTACAGAATGAAAAGAGGCTTTGATATAAAAAACTGCAGGTGAGCTGAATTTAGAAGAATAAGTGGTACAGGGGTAGGGATAGGAGAATGTTCCACGGGGAGGAAGCGGTCTGTTTGAAGGGGATGAAATTTGTAGGTGGAAGGAGAGCTTGGCATGTTTCAGGGATTGAAAAAAAATATCTGAGTGGCTGGAGCTCAGAGAGTGGGAGGGTTGTTGTAAGAACTGTGGCTGCAGAGTAGGACAGGGGATGGGCAATCATTTCACAGTTGTCCTAAGAATGGTGGAATTGCACTGTGGGACTTTATGCAAAGGAATGATGTGGTCAGATTTGTGTTTTGAAAATATTTCTCCAGTGAGGAGGCTACTACTGTAGTCTGGGGAGATATGGGAGTGTAACCCAGGCTAGGGCACCAGCAATAAGAGAGAGGAATTAGTGGGAATATGTGTGAATTGCTTAAAGGGGAGAATTGATGAGGTTAGGTAGTAGCCTGAATGAAGGAGGGGGGAGGTCCCACAGATGCCTCCTTCCTAGCATCTGACTTGAAAAACTGGGTGACTGGGAGTGAGATTCACTGAGGTAAGGGCAGCCTTTTCTTCACTGTTAAATGGCTTTGCTAATTTTATAGTGAAACTTGAGACGGTATTTGAAGTATTTATTTTCCTGTGGAAATTTGAGTATCTTACTCATGGGGAAAGGCTTAAGACATTGATTTTGGAAGCTTAGAGATGTTTACTCTTTGCTTCCCCTTTGACTTTCAAAAGATGTCAAATTGTTTTATCTTTAGTCTTACAAAAAAGAGCAGGGATATCAAACTTATAAAGTCCTAAAGATTACATTTAAACCATTCGCCCCCAGCCCCCCAATGAAATGGGGTTCTCCAGTCTAAGATATGGAATGCATCCAGTGTAGAAATCTCTATGTCTTTAACTTCTTTTGTTAACCTTTAGGTCTCTTTTCCCTACGTCATCAAGCAGTTAGGAGAAAACAGTTCTTGGAGTTGGGAAGTTACTACCTCATCCAATGATTGTCTAGACTGGGTCATATGAAGACCCTGCTGCTCTGATATTCTCTGCCTCTGGTTCAGAATATCTATGGAAGATAGAGTGGGGATAGGAAAGGCTTTCACATCTTTTGGTCAAAGCCTTCACTTAATGCTGGTGTTCTGGAGTTGATCTGAATGAGCCTGTTGAAAAGGGCCTGGATGGGCAGCCCCAGTGGCTTAGCGGTTTGGCGCCGCCTACAGCCTGGGGTGTGATCCTGGGATCGAGTCCCACATCGGGCTCCCTGCATGGAGCCTGCTTCTCCCTCTCCCTCTGCCTGTGTCTCTGCCTCTCTCTCTGTGTCTATGAATAAATAAATAAAATCTTAAAAAAAAGAAAGAAAGAAAGAAAGAAAAGGGCTTGGAGTTGGCCCAGGTTCCCCTGGACTGATTGGGTCTCCCTAGGCCTTGGCATTATCTCCAAGAAGGCCTGGGGCAGATCAGAGTTTGAGCCTTCTGAACTTCCTCCCGTTTTTATGTAGCAGAAACTAGCCCACAGGAATGCCAGAAGGGATGAGAAGGCACTAGTGGTTTAGTCAGAGGGGAGTGTGAGGTTGGAAGTCAGTCCCAAGTCTGACCCTCTGCCTGGGTACTGGGTGGGAGGCCAGGGGTGTGGGCCAATGGTGGTTTGGTGTGTGTGTGTGTGTACTACCCTCAGCGCAGGTGGTAGGCTATCGCTTTCATTCCCCCACACTATTTTGTCTCTGTCTCTTTCACAAACATATACACACGCACACCAGTATCCTCAGTCTGTGCCTGCCTCTCTCTCAGAGCCTGCCAGCCTCCTTGGCATAGGGGAATGGGAATAGGACTTCATGTGCGGAATTCCCTGCAGCTACTAGACTCTGAGGCCAGAGTGAAATCTGAGCATGGGCGCTCTTGCGGGTCACAGATCTCCTCCCCTGCCCCCATTCCCAACTAACAGCTGGCTCTGCCCTGTCTTCTCTCCTGCAGCACTCCACTTCAGTGAGCATCATGGGCTTCTCCAACACGCTAGAGATGGAGCTGTCATCTACCAGGCTAGCCAGGACCCTGGAGCCGCAGATCCAGAGCGTGAGCAGCCTGACTGCTACCCCTTCCCACATGGTCCCAAGCCTGCTGAGCAGCACCCCCACAACTGTGTCCAGCCTGCTGAGCGGTCAAAGCCAGGCTGTGCCCAGCCTGACAGTTAGTCCTCTGCAGACCATACCCAGTCTTGTACGTGGCACACCCCAGACCGTGCCCGGTCTGATGAGTGATTCCTCCCAGGCCATCACAAGCCTAGCAAGTGATCACTCACAGGCCAGGCCCAAGCTGATGTCTGGTCCCACCCAGACTCTGCCAAGTCTGGCTAATTGTCCACTGCAGAGCATGCCTCCGGCTTCTGACACGCAACCGGAAACTGCATCCAGTGGCAGTCCTGGCTCTGGCGGAGCTGTGGGGAGCCTGTGCCCTGGAGATGGGGCTGACCCCTCTCTTGGGAATGCCCTGTGTAAGGTAAGTCCTGGGGAAATGACATTCAACTCCTGCTCATCACCGGGCAAGGGGGTGGCCTCTGAAGGGCTTATCCTGTCCTTAGCTTCATGGCTCTGTCATTACTAACGCAAAAAGTCTGATTTCTTTGACTTTTGTTGGCCTTTCACTTTTGAAAGATGGAAAGTGAGGATTCTTCCCGCTTCACTGACTCTCTGGGACAGGACCCCACAACTCCTGGTCTGGAGGTTTCCAAGGATTTGGCTGTCCCTTCAGAACTGGAGGAGCCAATTAACCTCTCTGTGAAGAAACCTCCAGTGGACCCAGTAGTCAGCACAGCTATGGCTCTGCAGCAGTACCGGAACCCAAAAGGTGAGGTGCAAGTCAGAAGTATTGTGCTGGCGTAGATGTGAGCTCGGCACTTCCAGGTGAGACACGGGTCAGGAGACAGACTTTAGGTGTGAGGCAGCAGTGCTTCTCCCTCTGGCACATTTGCTTCTTCCTTCCAGAACTGACTGATGAGTGCCTGTTCTGTCTCCTTCACTGTGTGTGTGTGTATGTGTACTAGGACTGATCCAGGCCACGACGTAGGCTCGTGTAACGTATTCCCATGCAAAAAGTTCTGGAGGTATGGGTTAGCAGTGGGGGAAACAGGAAGAACTCATCCCAAAAGGGCTAGCCTTGGCAAAATATTTTAGGGAAAAGAGCATATCTGTCTTCAGAGTCGAGTATCTCTAACTTAGAAAATCAGCTCTGTCTTTTTGTTTGACCTTTCTGAGCTGGTTTCTTTCTCTGTCAATGGGGGTAATCAGAGCTACTTCCTAGACTCCTGGAACAAATAACTACAGTGAGATCATTTGATGACTTTCTCTTAGTAACAATAATTTGCCTTGCTTTGCTTTGCACCTGGCAGTCATCTGAATTTGTGTTGTGCCTCAGAGTAAAGGGAATTTGGACTGGTGGAGACTGGCTCTGATTCTCTTCTCAGCTACCCACACACCTCTAATGGGGCTTTCTTCTGTATAGGTGAGGGCTAGTTGGGAAGTTTGAAAGCAACCACAAAGTGAGCATTTGGGACTTTTTCTGTCTAGTGTAGGATATGTGTTTAGTTTGTAATGATCTCTCTATTTCCTGTATATTTAATAAATTAAAATGAAATATTTTTTCTCCTTGTTTTTTCGCACTGACTGAAAGACCCAACTGAACATTTATTTATTGGTTCTTATTGACAGCATAATAATGGGACCCTGGATTTTAAGCAATTAAATATTTTGGACCCTGCTTGCCCATGGAAAGTGCCTAGGACAGTGCCTGGTGCTAAATGGGTGCTCAGTAAATGCCAGTTTCCTCCTCTCTCCCCATACTGCTTCCTGCCCATCCATACAGGCTCAACTGCACTACTCAGGGTAGGGCTACTGAGAGCACATATATTTTTTTTTAACTTTTAATTTAATTTATTTTTTTTTAATTTAAGTGATCTCTGTGTCACATGTGACTTCAAGTTCTTGAGATAAAGAATCACATGCTCTTCTGAGTCAACCAGGTGCCCTATATATCTGTTTGTCTTTTAATTAATTAATTAATTTTAAAGATTTTATTTATTCATTTAAGAGACAGAGAGCATGAGTGGGGGTGGGGAGGAGAGGTAGAAACAGACTCCTTGCTAAGCAGGGAGCTCAAAATGGGGTCAGGACCATGACCTGAGCGGAAGGCTTAACCATCTGGGCCACCCAGGCACCCCTGTATTGGTCTTTTTAAATATTTTATTTATTTGAGATAGAGGGAGAGAGAGAGAGAGAGCACACATGTAGGGACAGGCAGAGGGAAGGGGATTCTCTATTTCCCACTCTCGCTGAGCATGGAGCCTGATGTAGGGCTTGATCCCAGGACCCTGAGATCACCACCCGAGCCAAAACTAAGAGTTGGACACATAACTGAATGAAACAGTCTTTTTGTCTTTTTAAAAGAAGAAAGGCTTCTTCTCATCATTAGGAAGGAGAACCATGGTAGGATTTCCACCATTATGAATGATTACAGTGTGGGTAACAATTGTGTGACAAGTATGTGGCTAAAGGTATGAGTAGCATATATGAGTGGAAGGTATGGGTTATAGAGCATGTTGTCACAAATGTATGTCACAGGTAATTATCTTTTGCCTTAGAGTATGAGAATTTTGAAGAAGCCCTGGAACTGAATGTAAAAGAGAACCAGAGTATCAGGTAACAGGCTCTTGCCCCAACCTCCCTCTCTCACCCTCCAACTTCATTTATGTCCTGGGAGGTTGGCACAAGAAGTCAGCATCCTTGATGACTTAACTAGAAGCAGAAGTTTACCTATAACTGTCTTCTTCAATCCCAGACCTTGGAGTAGGATCTGTGTGGTTGGGAGTCTGGGATGCTTGTGGGAGGGTGTCCTGGCTCCGGTGCCAGGAGGCCTGTACTCTGTGTAAGGTCCTCTGTCTTTAGAAATTCCCTTTTCTTTGAGCAAAGGGCTCTGGGGATAGGGCTGGGGAGGTGAACCGTGGGCCTGCACACAGTGGGATTGAGGTCTGGAGCAGCAGTTCAGTTGTGGGATCATGGATGAAGCTGACAGAGCCTGGGGCAGAGGAGGCCCCTCCAGAGACCCAGGGGTGTCTTTCTTGCCGCAGGAGAGAGCCTAAGATTCCCTATGTGCGGCTGGAGCGGCTTAAGATCTGTGCTGCTTCCTCGGGAGAGATGCCTGTGTTCAAGCTGAAGCCCCAGAAGAATGAGCAGGATGGGAGCTTCCTGCTGATCATCGAGTGTGGCACAGAGTCCTCCAGCATGTCCATTAAGGTATCACTCTGCTCTGTCTTGTCCTTGAACTTGGCCCACCCTAGGAGCCTCTCTTCTCTCTCTGCTTCTGTCAGAATTCTAGCTGTGGGTCTGGCCCTGTCCAGAGTCTGGTCTGAGTGGGGCTGCAGCCTGGCCAGACTTACCCTTGGCTGTGAGGGACCTGTGAGATGTATATTGGAAGGAGCTGTCCCAGCATTCACAGGGTTCAGCTGGCCTGGGGGCCTGGAATAAGTTGGTGCAATTCACTGGTGCTGTGCTCTGCCAACTTCCTTCTTCTTCAAGGTCAGCCAGAACAACCTGCCTGATGCCATCCAGGCCCCAAGTCTGGGGGGAAGAAAGGTCACTGTCACTTCCCTGGCTGGACAGCAGCCACCAGAAGGGGAGGGTGCATCTCCTGAAGAACAAAGACTCATCCCTCGGACCCTTGGAGCCAAGAAGGGGCCCCCAGTACCAATAGAGAATGAGGACTTCTGTGCTGTGTGCCTCAACGGGGGCGAGCTACTGTGCTGTGACCGCTGCCCTAAGGTGTTCCACCTCTCCTGCCACCTGCCGGCCTTGCTTGGCTTCCCAGGGTGAGCCATGCCTGTCCAGGCCTCCACCTGCCTAGCAGGGTGGTCTCCAGGAGGTCTGTTCCCAGTCCACACAGCTCCCTGGGCTAGGCTCCCTCCCCCTCTGGGCCTGTTTGAATTGCAGTTTTGTAAGTCAGTGGCCCAACTGCTGTGTGCTTTCTGCACATGGATGGGTAGATATTTGATATTTGAATGGCTTTCTTTTTTTGTCTGTTCCCAACTTCCTTCTACACACACAGATTTGTCCCCATACTCCTGTCACAGCCCCTTGCTGAGTCCTAATTTTTTCTGGATTCACTCTACCCCAAGTTACTAAATTTCTTTCAAGCTTGTTGAGGTTAGGAAACCATTCCCTGCAGGGCTACAGGGCTACAGACCGAGTCTTCCAAGCCATTACTCACCTCCCCTCTCCCTCGGGTATCTCGGAGCAGAGCGACAGAGGAGGTGACCCTGGGCCACGTGCTGCAGCCTAACTGGGCCTCACCTGCCTCCACAGGGGAGATTGGGTGTGTACCTTGTGCCGCAGCCTGACCCAGCCCGAGATGGAGTATGACTGTGAGAATGCTCGCTATTACCAACCCGGGATGCGGGCCACCCCTGGCCTGAGCATCTATGACCAAAAGGTAGGGAAGGGTCTCTGGGAACAAGGTTCTTTGCCTAGAACAGCCTCCCTGTGCCAGGGCTGAGGCCTTTCTGAGGGGATGGGAGGCTTCTTCAGGTACCTCTCTGATGGGCGATGCTGTCAGGGCGATGACAGCATCGCCCATCAGGGGTTTACAGTAAATTCCCTCCTGCCAGCTGTTTTTCTCTGGCCTGGGGATGGGGGGCAGCTGTGCTCTGCCTTGAAGGCATGGTGGCCCACACCCCATGGGACAGAGCTGATCCTGCTGGAATCAGTTCTTCTGGAGGTGAGGCCAGGGTGGAATAACGTGCTGCCATTCTGGTTTCTGCAGAAGTGTGAAAAGTTGGTTCTGTCCTTGTGCTGCAATAGCCTCAGCCTGCCCTTCCACGAGCCTGTCAGCCCGCTGGTAAGGAAAGCCATCTGTCTGTGCCAGCTCCCAAGGTCCTGGGCCCGGGGCGGGTCCCAGGGGTACCCAGGGCCGGCTCGGAGCATGGCTGCTGGAAGTTGGGTTGATATGTGTCTGGGCTAGTGGACCCAGCCGTGGCCACAAGAGCCCCCCAACCCAGCGACCAACTGCACCACGCCTGACTAGACAGTGAGCTATTCCTCTTTTTCCCTTTCCCTTTGTCCTCTTTCTCCACTTTTCTTCTTTTTTTTTCCACTTTTCTTCTTGCTGCCGTTTGTTCTTGTTCTTGTGTTTCTTCATTTCCGTTCCAACTCATTCTCCATCTTTCCCTCCTCCTTATCTGTACCTCTACCCTTTCTCTCTTCCTGCTTTGCTTCCCCTTCTCTTCTGCCCCAAGGCCCGGCATTACTACCAGATTATCAAGAGGCCCATGGACCTGTCAATCATCCGGAGGAAGCTGCAAAAGAAGGACCCAGCTCACTACACCACCCCAGAGGAGGTGGTGTCAGACGTCCGCCTCATGTTCTGGAACTGTGCTAAATTCAATTATGTATGTCTTGCCTGTTTTCCCCCTCCTGTATTTTCCAGTGACCCCAAGACTCATGGCTGGATGGGAATAATCAGGTTTGGTCCTGAGTTGCCACGAGGACCTGGGAACAGACTTTCTGGGGTCCCCTGTAGTGAGTGTTGATAAGCTCTCTCCCACACTTGGGCCATAGCATGGACTCAGGAGGAAGAAGGGGGGAGTGCTAGTGGTTGGCTGTCTGTGGGTAACTGTCAGGGTCACTTCTGCTTAAGAGATTATACTAAACTGGTTATCGTGAGTCTTCAGGAGGAAATGTCACATTTTAGACCTCCAGGAAACCTAGCCAGGCTTTGTACTCTGTATAGCTCTTGAGGGACCTGGAAGAGATGGGCTGGTGGAGACAAGCCAGACCATCACTGTTCTCCTTCCCCTTCAGCCTGATTCAGAAGTTGCAGAGGCTGGCCGCTGCCTGGAAGTTTTCTTTGAGGGCTGGTTGAAGGAGATCTATCCGGAAAAACAGTTTGCCCAGCCGAGGCAGGAGGACTCAGACTCCGAGGAGGTGTCTAGCGAGAGTGGCTATTCCACTCCCCAGGGCTTCCCATGGCCTCCCTATGTGCAGGAGGGCATCCAACCCAAGAGGCGGCGGCGACATATGGTAAAGAGTTGCTGCCAGCTGGCAGTTGGGTGCAGGGGGTGGTTGAGGAGGCAGGAGGCACCTAAGCAGCATGTACAGAGCAACCTAAAGCAAAACTGCTCAGGAGGCACAAGAGGCTGGTGACAGTGAACCCTTGCTCCCAACCCCTTAGTCTAAGAGGAAGGCAAGGCAGTGTGGAGCTCATTAAGTCTAATTATCACTGAGGCTTAAAACTCAGAGAGGTGGATGTACCTGCCCAGGTCACCCAGCAAGTTAGCAGCAGAATCCAGTTTGCAGCTCAGTTCTGGTTGTTCTGCACTGTGATCCCCTGGAAAAGAGAAATACCTGGTCTCATTGCCTGATCTCAACTTGGGCTTAGAAAAGAGAAAGGGATATTTTCAGCCCCTTGGTGTAGAGAAGGAGGGAGAGGTGTTGCTTGTAGCAAAGAGAGCTCCTCTGACCTTGTGTCTAGTCCCACATACACAGACTTGAGACGTCAATTCAGTGCTGTTTCATTCCACTGAAATGTACTGCCTGCCTGCTGTGTGCCAGGGCCCGACCAGCCACCACCCACCCCCCTCGCCCCCCACCCTGGGTTATTTACTGTACTTGGTACACCATAGCGCTTAGTGGCCGTAGTGAGTTTTGCTCTTGTGTTCCTGGGGTAAAATAAAACACTTTGGCTCTGGGGAGTCCCAATCTGGACACTTTGCCTTTTCACATTGATAAGTGCTACATTTGGCCATGTTGATTCCACACATTATTTTTTTTTTCTTTCAGGAGAATGAAAGAGCAAAAAGAATGTCATTCCGCTTGGCCAGCAGTGTCTCCCAGGTGTGAGAGCTGGCCGTAGAGCACCCTGGCAGCTGGTGTCCCATCCTGTTGACCACTCCTCCCCACCTTTCAGCTCATTCTCTTCAGATTGTGGATGTGAGACAAGTCTTGTTGAGCTGTGTAGTGCTCTTCTTTGCCGTTTGCATTTTACAGCATTCATTTGGGAGCCATAGTGCATCCACTACAGAGAAGATTTCAGTAATAAACAGCGAAGAGGGAGGTGTTCCCGATTACCAGAAAAATCAGATGTGTAGGGTCCCCTTGATGAGACCAAGCCTGGTCGGGCTTGGAAGGACCTAACTTCCTTGGTGTCTTTTCTCTGCTGAGGAAAGCAGACTTTTCTCACCTATCAGTGTGCAGGGTTCAGGAGCAATGTATATATATGTATATATACATATATATCTGAAGTCTTCCTGGGCCCAGAGGGAAGCGAAAGAAGGGAGAGAGGTTCTGACATATGGCAGGCCTGTGATCCCTGGCCTAGCACAGCCAAAGACTGTCACTGTTTGCCTTTGCTTGGCCTGCCGGGACAGGAAGCTGCCCTGTGCGGGGTAATGGAGGCTTCTAGAGGCCTTAGGTCTCAATTGGTGCCTATTCGGTTCTAACGGTTTTCAGGGTATTTGTTTCTCATGCCCCCTATACCGATGTTGACTTAGGTGGCCGCTGTGAAAGTGCTCTATGGCATTCTCGATGGGGCCAGGTGGCTGTGCAGGGACTGCTGACAGCATCAGGCTCATATTTCACCTTGCAGGCTTAAGGAGATGTCAACCTCAGAGCCTGTGCTCTGTGCCACTTACTTTGGGTTCTTAGTTCTTCCTTGGTGTCAAAGCTTCCTAGAAGTGATTGTCAGTGGCCATCTCTTCATTGTCTCCACTCAGAGGTCTGGATGCTGAGTTCTGCCTGGGAAATCTGAGAGGCAGGGGCTGGCCAAGGAGGGTGACCCAGAACCAGCTCGCCCTGCTGGGTTCCTCCTCCCTCTTAGAGATCCTAGTCCTCAGCTTCTCCACTTTTGCAGAGCCAAAGATCAGAAGCAAGTTCTCTGACTTGCCTGCCTCCAGGCTGCCCACAGCCCAGAAAAAGCCAAGACTTTACTGGCAACCCTTTTTTGTTGGAGGCTGGAGAAGGCCAGAGGACTGCCAGGAGCCCGAGCTAACCATTCATGGGGATGTTCCATCTTGGATGGAGAAGGGGAAAACTGAGAGGTGAGGAGCCAGAGTTCCTTGTTGACCTTGAAGGAACTTAAGGATTATTTCTCTGAGAATTCAGAGGGAAATGTTCTGGAAGCCACAGGAACAGGAATTCCAGATCACATCTCAGATGGAGATGGATCTTCATGGTCTGTGCAGGGTGTTTGGGAGGAGGAAGCATAGGAGATACTGTGGGTCAGGGTGTTCCCCAGCAGGAACTTGGTTGAGAGGGAACCTACTGCTGCTGATGATGGGGGAGCTGTGGACCTGGCACTTTGGTGGCCCTGCCTGCAGACATAGCTTTCTCTGGTCTGGTCATATCTTGGCTAATTTCAAGGGAGTCTTGGGTCAGGGCTTTATTTTTTTGCTAAGAGATGAAGTTTAAGGAAGTTCTTGTGTGTAGGGCCTTTGTTAATGGGAACATTCTGCTTGGGGAAGACGTTTCTTCTCTCCTTGTGAGTTTGTGGTACTGCTCATTTCCTTTGCTACTCAGGCTGAGAGGCCATCTTCGCTTCAAAGCCAACCATGCTCTTGGCCTGCCATTCCTTCACCAGCCCTTGCCAGGCTCTCCTGTGCAGACAGACTTCCATAGTCCAAACAGGGGTAACTAAGTCTTTTTGCTCCAATAGCCAGGCAATCTTTAGACCTAGCCCCTCTGCTCTTTGGGCCTCACACGACTCTCTGGATTGGGCTTTGGCCACTTTCCTGTCAATTTTTTAAATCTTTTTCCCTGTTTAGTTGACTTGGCAAGATTCCCTCTGTAGTTACCTCACTAATTCGTGCCCTTGTCATCTTTCTTTATTGTGGGCCCCACTCCCCCTCCCCTGAGTGAGCATTATGGTGCTATATGTCGGACAGCCAGGTGAGAGCTGTGGCAGGCTCAAGCCTGGTTGAGATTCTTCCACAGGACTAACTGGAGACAACAAATATGAAGTAGAAATGCCTGGCTTCCCTTCTCGTAGTGAAGCTCCCAGCTGGATATAGCCGGCTGGGCCAGGAGATCTTAGTAATGTAGAAGAGAATCACGTACTCCTTTCCTGTCACAGAGACCCTGCATGCTGCTGCGAGGCCCACTTTTGGCACCTGAGCAGATGTAAGGTGTCCTTCCCTGCAAGGGTGTGAGGCCCTGGCCCACAACGGCACCCCTGCACTGGTTACTCCACACCACTGCCCTCTCCCAGGCTTTTTCTGTGGACTTAGCACCAACGTTTTGAGTCATACTTTTGTTTCATTTTGTTTTTGCATGCAGAAAACAGGATGTGACTTTTTAGAAATTAAAAAAAACAAAACAAAACAAAAAAACCCAAAAAGCTGCTAGCTGAGTGACTGACTCCAGGGATTCTTGCTGACATCTGAACTGATCCTGCTTTTGACTTACTCTCCTGATGGCCCCTTCTAAAGTCCGTCAAGTCCTTTGGCCCTTGACAAAGTCGTGAAATGAAAATGCAGTGAGTTCTGGGTCCTCACAGTATAGAATGCAGTCCTAGAGGAGAAATTGGACTGCTTGGATGTTCCGGGAAATAGGAGAGTGGAGGGGCTTCAGTGGATGCGAAGGGGATTCAGTGGATGCGAAGGGGATTTTAGTGTAAAAATTGGTGCAGGATGAATTACAAAGGACTGTTCCAGAATGTGGGGAGGCTGGCACTACTTGACTTCTAGATTGCTGACTGCATGCCCTCTGCGGGTACCCCTCCGACAGTGGCAGCTGCCTGACCCTCTGCAGGTTCTGCTCTCAGCAGGCCTCACCATCAGACTCAGCCGGTTCTGGCTCCCTGCCCCCACTCCTGGCAGCAGGTCTTTGCCTTGCTTCCTAGACCTAGACCTCTCCTTATCTTTCCCAGACTCTGCCCTGTTTCTTCTCTCACTCCATGAGGTCACCTGTAGTCTTCTTTTCTGAACTCCTGAACTGAGACCTTACTCCTTCTGGATCACCATCCCTGTGCTACCTCTTCTCCCACTTCCTCCCTGCTGTTTATTTAAATTGCCTGCTCCTTTAGCCCAGTTCCTTATCAGGATTCTGAACTGTCTTATCCCCTCCAACTCAAGACTTCCCCTGAAGCTGTCAACCATTCTCCATTTTTTGCATCAGCTTATTTTCTGCTCCCTCCTCCTGGGTGGCAAAGCATGGCAGCTTCATAGTTGACACCCTCAGATGGGCTGTCAGCATCAATCGGTGTATCTTTGACTTGCAGCTACACTGCTGTCTGCCTGTGCCCTCACCTTTGCTCTCAGCCAATGACTGACCCCATTGCCTGCTTCGCAGAAAAGGGTCCCTACAGTGAGAACCTCCTTGCCCATTTCCTCCTCTCTCCCTCCCTTTCTGTCTGTGTCTACATCTCTCCTCAGATCCTTCCCGTTTGCTCCTGTTTGGTGCTCCATTTCTTGAATCCTGCTTTACGGCCTCCAAGACTTTGCTCTGTCCCTTATCCCACTGCTTCTACTTCCTGGGTCTCAACCTCCCTCTCTGTTGGTTGTTCCACAAAGCATACAAACAAGCACAGGTCTCCGCCAGACTAAAACAAAGCTTCTTAGAGTCTGTTGACTTCATTTCCTTATTAGCCAAATTTCTTTAAAAAAGGATTTGTTCCATTAATTCTTCTCTGTCACTCTTCAGCCCTCCACACCTTTTCATAAGAGTCACCAGTGACCACCCAGTTGCCAAATCAAAAGAATACCTTTCAGGCCTGAACTGTCTTGAACTCTCCACAGCATTTCATACCATCCATGGGTTGCTCTTTGAGACAGCCCCTTTATGTGGCTTTTATGACACCACAGGCCTCTGGGTTATCCTCTTATCTCTCAGCCACAGAGGCTGAGCCTTTCTTGAAGTCTTGACAAGGGAACACATCTATAGCTTTTTGTGGTCTCCCCTCTTTAGGAATTGGGCTGTCAGGAGGAAGCACAGCTGCTCCTGCTCCTTACCCTCCATGTCTCTCTGTTTTCCTTGAATCTGTTTCTTCTGCTGGACTCAGTTCTCCCCATGCCAGTCATGTGTATGAGCTCTCCAGGGAGGACAGCATCCGTGAGCCTTCCTCTGTCTTTCCCAGTGCAGCACGGGGACAGATTTTATCTACGTTTGCCAGGAGATCCCATCTAAGTCAGCTGAAGAATGTGAATTGAGTCCTACCAAGAAGCAGTTTGGCAAATGGGATTCCCAGGCTGGTGGGCAGCTCATTGCCATGATCCCCATACCAGTTAGAGCCAGCCACAGTTGGTAAGGTGCTTGGGATCATGGTAAAACATGGTTTTACCTAGTTCATTGTGCTCCTAGTCAGAAGGAAGATCTTGGCAGGGGTGGGTGTCTGCCACTGATAACTTTCTGGTGCAGAGAAAACGGAGCAGTGCTGTGACTCATCACTTGCTTGGGGGCTCAGCTGAGGGCAGTCTGACTGCTTTTGGTCAGGTCTTTCCCATCTGTACTGATAGCACCACTTGCTTGCTCCGATTGTTCCCAGAGCTGGAGGCAGAGCTGCATATTGGTTGTTTTCTTGGAGATGGGGTGATATCGTAGAAAGTTAACTGATTTGAAATGCTGAACACCTAAATTTTGCTCCGTCAGTTTTGAGCTATGTGACCTTGGGTACAGTTTCTCCCACTTATAAAGTTGTTTGGGGGAGGGGGTTGAAAACAGTGATCTCTCAGAGGCTTTGCTGCTGGAAAAATGGTGATGGTGATTCTAACTCTAAAGCTCAGGCCACACAGGGAGCAAGGGAATATTGGGGGTAGGACATAGCTGGGGAGTCTTGGCCAAGGCAGGACAAAGGGACTCACAGGCCAGACTGAGATGTTTGGAGGAAAGCAGCTTTGAGCTGCTTCTTGAGCCATATGCCCATTCATCGAGCTGTACTTCTTTTCTTGGATATCTAGGGTGAGTTTCTCTTTGGCCTTTTTCAGAAGTGGCCATTGGATCCAAAGCGGTTGGGAGCAGGAGGGAGGAATATTGTAAAGGGAAGTGTCATTAATCTTAAAAGGACCTACACGTTCAAGAACAAATTAAAAGATAGCACTTTTCTTTACCAATAATTGCGTCTTGGAGTGTTTCTTCAGTAACAATGGTTGAACCTACTTCATGGTCTTCTTCCCCTGGACTCCAACATTATTAAGAACACAAGATGGGGAAGAAGAGACTGGGAAGCCTTCTGTCTAGGGAAGAACTCAAGTCTCTGCTTCTTATTGCATGAACACAGCCAATTCTTCAAAATTCAGGCAATGAATCTGAGGCAGTTAGGGGAAAACCATCTTATGAGTGCCTGCCACTTCTAGGCACTGAATACCTCAGGAATGTTTTTTATAGAGTCATTCCTCAGTCACCTAGACTTAGCTCTCCTCTCTGCCCATTCTAAACCAGTGTTTTCC